TTTCTTTTAATTACAGCCAACATGCATTAAAACAGAGTGTCAACTTAGCAAAACATTTTCAGTATCGCGAACGGAGACTATAAAATACACCTCTATTTATAACCACATAAGAGAAATAGACATATTGATTTTTGAACTTGATTCACTCTAGCTCTAAATGTTTCATATGTTGACCTACTGAGAGCTTTAAACAACTAAAAAAACTTTTAAAAGTTTTCTTCTACAATGTCTGAGCCATCTTATATTTCGTAACTTTGTTTTTATACGTATCAACAGCGTTACATATAAAATATAAAAAAATTGTAAAAAATAAATTAAAATTAAATTTTTTTTAAAGTCGCTGAGTTCTAATTATTTAATTAAATCAAATATACCAAATTGTAATAGGCTATTTGGAATGGAATAAAAACGACTATTAAATTAAATAAAATTTAAATTAATGTTTCGCTCGACTGTATATTTCATGTGTTTAAAATTCAATTTTTAGGTTAGAGATAGCAAAACATGATAATTCTTGATTCTTTTTAAGGTCAAACTTTTCAAGTGAGATTCTGCTCTTGATTAACTTGTTTGGAACTTAAATAATATAGACCCTGTTTCCAACAATAGAAGACATTTAAAATTTTATTAATTTAAACCATTCAGAACATTACAAGCTAGCTTAAAAAATACCATTCATTAAAATTTACTGCGGCATTAATAAGGTTTCATTATTTTTTAGTGATAAAATATCAGAAGATTTTTTAAATAAAAATAAAATGAAAAGTGAACTATAAATGGATAGGATAAAAATAATTATATCACGAAATAACTATTGCTTTTGTACAAAGAATTTAGAATTACTGGCTCTTTGTAATGTATAAAGTTTAAATATTCTGCAATTTACTAAAACATCTTATAAAAAAAGAGTCATTTATGAAATACATCATAATGTTGAACAATGACACTGTGTCAAAAGTGATATTTAAAAAAAAACTGCTAAAGTTGTCTTAAAATTTTATATAAATTTAGAATTAAAAATATGAATTTAACTATATTCCCAAGTAAATATTATAATTTTTTATGCTTAAATGAAATTTCAAAATGCAAAAAATACTGTGATATTTTTCCTTCAAAACTGACACATTTTCAGAATCTTAAGTCTGAGGCTTTTAATAAAATGTGATGGAAGCTCATGATAAGCACAACGTTGTTTTAAATTGGAGATTAATTTAAACATATTTTTTTAGATTATACGGACGCTATGTTCAATAGACAATATACTATACTCAGACAACAAATTTAATTAGAGAAATGGGTAATTTAATATTGTACTTCAACAACTTCCAGTTTTAACTTGGTACCAAATTAATTAAATTCTATACGAAATTAGCTGTGTAATAGCTGAAAGAAAAGTATCTCAAAACTTTTCGGTCGCTATTAACTTTTATCACAATAGAGCTTTAGTTTGAATAGCAGTTAACGATATTTATGTAAATTAATGCTGTCATTTTATCAATATTCAATCTAATTTACTGTTTCTTGTAATTTATTAATTGTTTAAATAGCAAATCTTGACAAAAATAATTTTATCCGAGATATACCAATTGGACATTCATAGAGGGTGAATTATACTTGTAGTACGGGATGTTTAATCTGATATGAATCTTTCGTTAGAATTAATAGTAAGTTCAACAACTTTACCTAGTACCTTCACCTTTGTTAATGAAATTATAAAGTATAAATGTAAAAATATAAAGACAAAGATATGAATATAAAAAATATAAAGTATAAATAGATTAATATTATAGATTAATATAAATAGATAATGACCAGTCAGGTTTAATGACTATGACTGTGTGTCCATTCTAAACTATCCAACCGGGAGCAATGTCATACTGATTGTTCGGGGAAAGTCACTGTAGATATGTAGTCACTGTAGATAAGTGTATTCTATCAAGTGAAATTTTTCTCATAGGCATTCACATTAAAAAATTGTGCAATTTAAATTGCAAACAGTTTTTATTCTAGCTTGTAGCTCCAATTAAACATAAGAGAGTTCTTCATGAAGGTGAAAAACTATCAGGTGAGAAACTATCGTGCCGTCACCGAATTAGTATTTTGAAACATACCAAGGCATAAGATAAATTTTATTAAAAGATTTCAACAATTATTACCCTTTGGCAAAATGGGTCTCAGTTTGGATTTCATGGCGTCCTCACTTTTCAACTACAATAATCAAGAGTAATAGTAAACAGTGCGCATGCGTTGCTATGGCGACCTCTGCTGTTTGATGATTTTCTTAGAATTCTTTTTTTTTTTTCGCTTTTAATTTTGTTATGCATTAAGTTGGTGAGTTTATTTTTGAGATATGGCACCAGAGAGTCCCCATAAGCACTTCTTGAGTTGTGAATAAAAGAGAATTTCATGATTTGCTTTTATTGTTTTAATTAAGAATCATAAAATTCTAACCAATAGTTCAAACTGGATCATTTTCAATACTAATTCAGGAGAATATTACAAATAAAAAGGGTCCAAACTGATTGACACGGTCCCAAAAGTTACAGTTGAAGCAAGAAAAAAACGATGCCAAGGCCTAAACTTACCGAGGCTGAAAAAGCCAAAGTGCGGAGGCGGAAATACCTGAAGCGTTTCACACACACGGAAAAAGAAAAGGATTCCGTTCGCAAACGTAAGCATGAAGCCTGTCCCTCACAAAAGTACCAAAGTGGTTTAGAGAATTAAACCCTATCAAAGAGCGAATGGTGACTCTCCAAAGCCCTTTCATGCAAATACGAGAACTGGGAGTTAGGGATAAAAGGATCCATTGTCAACGTACCCAATAACTTGCACAAGACCGTAGACTGTCTTCCACGCAATATAAATGATTCATTCACTATTCATGTCAAATTGAAAAAAAGCCTGGCTTTCAAATCATATTTCATGTATGAACTTGTGAATCCGAAACGGGTGTATGATGCAACTTACAGTATCCATCTTACAAGCACAAGGACAGTTATTTCAAGTGTGTGGATTAAATCTGTAAAATCTTTGCTTCTCTCATAAGCAGCTCTATGTGGCCTGCGAACATGTATCGAAAGACCTTCTAAAAATTGGAAAACCTTCCAAACGATACGACAAAAAGTTTTGTGTACTTGAAAAATCATATTTTAGAAGCACTTGAAAAATCATATTTACAAACACACTTGAAATTGTTAATTTTTTTCCTTAACAAATGAACAGAAAGCCTTATTAAAATGGTGTAAATTATTTTCATTTCGATATACATAGTTTCCTTTAAATACAATTCAGACTGGAGGCGTTGCAAAACGCCCAAGATGCGACTTGCTATAAATAAAATGCTTTGATAAAAACAATGCCACTCTATGAATGCTTTAAATTAGAAAAAAAAATGAATAAAAACAAGGAGACCTAATTCACTCTATGGTTCTGCACAAATAAGTAGAAAATAAAATACTGGGAGTATAAAAGATACTTTGTATAAAAATAAATAAATTAGGTGTACAAAAGATTGGGTTCATATAGTCTTAGTTAAACTGATTACAGCTGTTGATTTTCCAGTTGTTATGTTAATGCTATGTAAATATTTTCTCAAAATAAATTGAAAGAATTTCACATAATTTTTTAAAACTACGAGGCTTTGAAACCCCCCCTTCCCCACTCACTTCTCATTGCTTCTTTTTTTCTTTTTCTAAAGGTCATTATTTTCCACGAAAACACGGAGCATTTTGTTACAACTATTGTAGCTTTATGTAAGAACAATTTGTTAAAATGCCCATCGAAATGAAAGAGACCTATTATTAAAAAATAATCATTAGTACTCGAAAAAAAGAATTTAACCTGAGGAATAGAAATTGTGTGAATTCATAAGAAGAAATATAGACATTTTAATTAAGGTACAGTTTTTATCGTTCTTTAATAAGTTTTTAAATTCTTAAAAATTTCAATATCAATGTTAAGATCTATATCTGGTAACATGTAATCTCTCTCTTTCTTATTACTTTTCATTGATACTTACGCAAACGCGAGCTTACGAAATAAAGATCTCGTAAGGGTAAAAACAATTTTTACAACTGCAAATGAATTACATTAAAATCAATATTCAAAACAAAGAAATTGAAAAAAATTTATCAAAAAGCATTTAAACTTACTATAACTTTCGAACAAATTGGAATTTTGAAAAAAA